TTCGCGGTACCACAAAGGGGGCATGTCGGGTCTTCATTTAGGAACTCCAGACGATCTTTTGTTTGGAGCCTATTCATCACACCAAGCCATAAAATGAAGGAATGCTTGGGGATATTGCAACTCCCCTAAACAACCCCGACCCATGGCTTCTCAATACCCTTTGGTCGGAGAAAATCGTAACACTTGCTAGTACCGTCTTGCTTGTTGCGTAAACTCCAAGCACGGAGAAGGGCTTCCGCACCGCGCTCGCTACCCGCCTTTTCAATCAAGCTTTGCCGGATTTCAAAGAGAGATTTAAAGAGAGGGGAGTCATTCTTGGAAACTTGTCAATCCCAAATAGTTTTCTCCTTCAAATAGATGTTGTGGATCCATTTGAACCATAGTGTATCCTTCTTAGCTTGCATATTCCAAAGAGTCCGCGTGAGAAGGGCTCGGTTCCAAGCATCCAAGTTACGGAGCCCCAATCCTCCCTCCGCTCAGGGTAGACACAAAGTATCCCATGCAACGGGGGCTTTTTTGGAGCCCCATAAGTACCTCCTACATAGTTGAATGATTTTTGTTCGGATAATGCCCGGCAAGTGGAAGATGCCCATCCAAAAGCAAGCAATGCCTTGAATGACCGATCGAATTAGTTCCAATCTACCGGCATAGGAGAGAGAGTGGCTCCTCCACCCACTAAGTTGATTTCAATTTGGTTGATCATATCATCAAATAGCCTCCCGGTAATCCGATCCGCGGTGAGGGGGACTCCGAGATAACGGAACGACATTGGCCTGATTAGCATGCTAGTATCATCAAGGATGGTCTCACGATCACGTTCTTTCACGCCGGCCAAGTAGATGTTGGATTTAAGCACATTCATTCCAAGCCCCGATTTCTCCCCAAAGTCTCTTAAGCATTCCATGAGCACTTTGATTGATCCCGAGTCACCCCGAGAGAGGAGCATGAGTTAATCGGCGAAGACTAAGTGAGAGATTTTTAGCTTCTCACACATTGGATGGAATTTAAAGTTCGGGTCCTCCGCCGTATTGCAATTAATGAGCCTAGAGAGGTATTCCATGCAAAGAACGAAAAGGAAAGGAGAGAGGGGATCACCTTGCCTTAGTCCGCGAGCGCCTTTGAAATGGCCTTTGAGGCAACCGTTGATAGATAGGGAATACGTAGGGGTGGTGACGCACTCCATGATCCACATGATGAAAGCCGGTGGAAAGCCTAAGCCCTCAAGCATTTGCCTCAAGAAGGCCCATGAGACGGAGTCAAATGCTTTGCGGAGGTCAATCTTGATTAAGCATCTCGGAGACACACTTTGCCTCAAATATTTCCGGAGCAATTGTTGCATGAGGTAGATATTGTTCGTCATATTCCTCCCCTTCACAAACGCGACTTGAGCTTCATCAATAATAAAATCAAGAACTTCACTAATTCTCTTTGCAACTTTTTCTTTGTTGATTGCTGGAGTCAATCATGCCCTAAAGATCTCAACTTTTTCTTTGTTGATTGCTAGAACATATAAAGTGTTTTGTCTTTTTTTAAATAAATTTTAAAGATATGAAAATAGATAAACATTCCTTAGAAATAAATATTTGATATAAGTTTATAGTTAAACTAAATTTTAAAAAATAATTATAAATAAATAAATATATTTTTATTATTTATTATTAATATTTTGTGTACGTATAAAAAAAATATCTTCCCTATATATTATTCTCGAATGCGTTGAGCCTACATGGCTGCTTCTGGTGCTTCGGAATCTTACTTTGCAGAGAATCATGCTTCGTAATTAGGTTTCGA